TTATTCTGTTCAGATGGTACATCTAGATACCATAAGCCAAGTCATTGGTACATAATTATTTTTAAACAGTGTTACCCGGCTTAATTGGTTTAAAATAGTTTAAAAGGGCTCTGGTTGGCCCTACAAATGAATCTAATCCATCAGTTCTTAGTTCTGTTAGAATAGCTCCATTTTAACAACTTAGGCTATTATTAAGCCAGGCCCACCATTATTTTAGAATTTTTTTTTATTGTGAAAATACTGTACAGAGGGGTTACAATTACATGGGCAAGCTAATGAGTACATTTCTTATCAAGCATTGTAGCCTCCTCCTTTGTTTCCCCTTCCCATCCCTTCCCATCCTCCTCCCCACCCCCAATCCTCCTCCCCTCTTTTAGAGGTTTTCTTTTTTTTTTTGGGTCCAGTCGTGGGGGCTGAACTCTGGGCCTGGGCACTGTCCCTCAGCTCTTCAGCTTAAGGCCAGCGCTCTACCACTTGAGCCGCAGCACCACTTCTGGCTTTTTTCTTTTGCTTATATGGTGCTGAGGAATCGAACCCAGGGCCTCATGCATGCAAGGCAAGTGCTCTACCACTGAGCCACCTTCCCAGCCCCTTGAGGTTTTCATATTTTATTTATTTACTTTTAAATCAGAGCAAGAACATTTGGACAACATGTCTTTAAAAACAGGAGCAAAGAACAAGTTTTTCTTCCACATATCTCTTCTGACCAATACCCTCCTGGAAACATTTTCACTAATACCCTAGACTGCAACAGAACAGGGGTTAGCACACATCCCTCCAAATAGTTTTCTTTCTAGTATTGCAAGAGTTGTTTCTTCAGTTGAGTGTGATAAAATAGTTGGCTTGCATTTAGGGGCTATGTTTTAGAAAAATAGACCTAAGTAAAGCCAGAGTTTTTCTAGAATCATAAATTGAAAATGAGTGGAGAATCACGGTTCCCATCTTTTGCTTACTCTAAGGGCAACACTCAATGAGAAACAGTAGGAATCTTCAACACTATTTAGTTTCTGTCTCTCTGGTCTCTTTTTGTTAAATGCAGTTGAATTCAAATAGTTTAAGCCTATGTCATAAATCTATGGTTAAAATATATTGGGCCATCACACATACAGTTTTTTCTCCCTTTATTGGGCAGATTTATTTTAGGAGTTTTTTTTTTTGGGGGGTCCGGTCATGGGGTGTGGTGCTGCTGAGGAATCGAACCCAGAGCCTCATGCATGCAAGGCAAGCACTCTACCACTGAGCCACCTTCCCAGCCCTTGTGTGTGTGTGTGTGTGTGTTTAGGTCTGGTCATGGGGCCTGAACTCTTGGCCTGGGCGCTGTCCCTCAGCTCTTCAGCTAAGGCTAGCGCTCTACCACTCGAGCCACAGCGCCACTTCCGGCTTTTTTCTTTTTGCTTATGTGCATGCAAGGCAAGCGCTCTACCACTGAGTCACCTTCCAAGCCCCCTTTTTTTTTCTTTTGAAGTGCATTTTTTTTCTTAGTTTTTTCCTTCGGTTGTGGGGCTTGAACTCTGGGCCTTGGCACTATCCCTGAGCTCTTCGGCTCAAGGTGAGCACTCTACCACTTAAGCCACAGCAACACTTCCAGTATTCTGGTGGTTAATTGGAGATAAGAGTCTCACGGAAGCTGGGTGCCAGTGGCTCACCCCTGTAATCCTAGCTACTGAGGAGGCTAAGATCTGAGGATCACGGTTCAAAGCCAGCCCAGGCAGGAAAAGTTTGTTAGACCCTTATCTCCAATTAACCACTAAAAAACCAGAAATGGTGCTGTGGCTCAAGTGGTACAGCGCTAGCCTTGAGCTGAAGAGTGCAGGGATAGCACCTAAGCCCAGAGTTGAAGCCCCATGGCCAACAACATCAACAACAACAAAGAGCCTCATGGACTTTCCTGCCTGGGGGTGGCTTTCAACAGTAATCCTCAGATCTCAGCCTCTCAAGTAGCTAGAATTACAGGCATGAGCCACCAGCACTGGCCTAAAAGTGCATTTCTTAAGAGTGAATAGATGCCAGACACATACATTATTCTTGTACCCTAAACATGTAGTTTTAAATCTATAAGATTCAGCTGGAGAACTTTATAAAACAAGATGACCAGGATTCATCCCAATTCTATTGAACCAGTTTTCCCTGGGTATGGACAATTAGTATATTATTTTTAAAAATATTTTTATTATCTTTAAGTAGTTGTACAAAGGAGTTGCCATTTAACAAAGCAATTTATGAATGCATCTTGAGAAATTTTTTTTCAGCTCTGTGTTGATGCTGATGCATGTATCTTGGCTAAGAACTACTACTTTAAGTTATTATCATCCTATAGCTAAATTGTCAACTAAGAATAAACTTGGCCTATTTCACAATTGTGTCTAGGGACTGCTTGTCAATGTTTCCTGGATTTTGATTACTTTTTGAATTTGCTGCCTATGTATGTCCCGATTTCTTTCCTGTTCTGTTGGAGGGTCTTCCCAATACTTCTGAACTTCTGTACTGTTAACCTGACCTTTGAACTCAAGTGCCACCACCAATAAGGGTTCAGAATCTCGGTGCTGATCTCTGCATCTAATTCTGTCTCTACCATACACCCTCTATTTATGACCTTCTATATGACAATCTGCCAACACCAGGGAAGAAAGAACTCTTAATAGGTAAAGTTATTATTAATGTGTATGTTAATCTTACCTCAGTAGAATGGTTTGAATCCCTTCAAACAGTGGTTTGTACTTTGTATCCCCAACTATAAGCTCTCCAATATATAAGGAAAAAAAAAACACAAAAACAACTCCTTAGTTGGATGTAAATGTCTTCTATTGAGATCTTATTAACTTTCTGGATCTCATAACATTTTTCATGCCTGTGTTCTAATCTAGCTAAGCTTCACTATTCCCCAGGAAGTCATCTGGATTTTTTTCACCAGTAGCTCTTTGACCCTTATCCAAATCCTACCAATAATCATTTAAAGTCATAGTTCTCAAACCTGAAAAATGTGCAGACAAAAAAGCAGTTCTCAGGATTCTAGAGTGTATTTCTAGTTAGTCAGAAGTTCACAGACTACAGTTGATAAGTACCAATATAGAAAATGAAAGGCCAATTCTATGAAAATCATGCAACCATTTTAAAAGACAAATGGTGTAACTGTAAACATAATTTTTGGTAATTTCATAGAACTCTGGTTCGGATAATCTTCAGATCTACAGTCTCTTGTTTGAAAAAATGCTACATTAAAGCACAAACATACTGACCTTGGAAAATGTTCTTTTATCACCTGAAGTTAACAGTTTTCTTCTTCCTAAATTATTTAGTACCTCCTCACTTTCTACCTTAGAAGTACCTAATAATGTGTGCCTAAACTCTTTGCAGACAGGACTTTCACTTTGTTAATTTTTTTTATTGGTACTATCTGGAGACAGATCAGATCACAGCATATATTGTTTGGTCCAATATATTTGTGGTCCAAATCTCTTAAAAACACACTTTTCCCCCCACAGAATATTACTGTTCATTTTCAATAAATTAACAAAAACTGCTTCAAAAAGGTTTTCTGAAATATTAGAAAAGTATAATGGAGGTTATTTTTTAAAAAAAGTGCATGCATGCCACTATCGTGCTAATGTTAATAGGAACACTTTATAGATGATCCATAAGCAATGAAGAATCTTAGGATAAAGGATAAAATCTGGAAATGCAAGGCTAGTGGAGAGACCCTTTATCCACACAGTCTTGGAAGGGCTGTGTGTCCTTAATCCAACTTGCATTTCAGGCGTTGTCTGCCAGTTTTCCACCGAGGTTTGAGGAACTGTGTTTCCTGCACTTAATAGGAGCAGATTTCTAACTTCAGGGAAGATGACGGGGGGGGGGGGGGGCTTAAGTCAACTCAAGGTTTTCCCTCACCCAGTGTATCAGGACTGAGCCTGAGGGACCGGAGGGGGGGGGAAGGGGGTCTTCTTCTCTGGATTACCTGGGCAAGCAAGCTGAAGCTAGTTTTCTTTTTCTTTCACTTTAAAGAGGGGGACGGATTATGATTTACTTGATCCCGTTCATTTCTGAAATTGATAATCTACTGCCCAAACACGGGCTTGAGAAAGATTTATTTCTTTGGGTCGGACCAGACACGTCTGCCCGTTGATATTTGGGTTTTCCCTTTCTGGTTCTGGGGGTAGGGTGAGGCGATAGTGGGGTGCTCGGGGTGTGCAGGTCCCCGGCCTACTGAGGTCCTCGCCCCTCCACGTTGGCGGCTCACTCAGGCCCAGCGAGGATCGGACCTCTCTCCCCACTCCCCAGCGGGAGCGGTGTGACTCGGAGGAGATTAGTCCCTGGTCATAAACAACCTCTCACTTCCCCTCCCCCGCCCCGGGCCCGCCCGCGCTGGGGCCCGCCCTCCGCCGCGCAGGGACCCGCCTCCTCCCGCAGCGAACGCGGGCCCCAAGCCTTCCTCTGGAGGGCAGTCGCGGGCCGGCTCTTTCCCCAGCCCGGGTGCTTGGTTCACTTTGCTCGACTCTCGTCACTCCATCAGGCCGCCACCGCTACCTCGGGTGGGAGCAGGGGGGCCAAGCCTTCAGTCTCCATTTCTCTCCCTCTACGCCATCCTCGACCTCCACCACTTCCAACCACCAAAGGAAAAGGCCGGCATTCCCGACGCGCAGACTCACAGCCGGGGCCGCCCAGCACGCGCCGACGCCGCCCCCACCCCCCATCTCGCGGGCCTTCCGCGGCCGGTCCCCGCCCCTTCCCGGAGCCCGCCTCCGCGTCGCCCAGCCCGCCTGCTCGCCTCTCGCGCTCGCTCTCGCGCGCACCCGACGCTCCGCCTCCGCGCGTGCTCAGTAACAGTCTCCCGAGCCGGCCTACAAGCTTCTCCCGCCCCTGAGCTGTTTGAATATGCTAATAAGAGGCTCAGGTCTGGCCAGTAGAGGAGCGGGGCGGTGCACACGTGGCTCGGGGACGTGTCAGAGGGCGGAGCCTACTCAGCCCCTGCCCGAGTTAAAACCGGAGTGTGAGAGAGAAAAGCGCTTCAGTAGCGAGAGGGGCTGAGAAAGTGGTGGCACCGCCGGGGTGCGGAGGGAGTCCGTGAAACTTCTCCCAACAGCCCCAGGGCCAATCTCCCCTCAGCCCACTCCCCTCTTCGCCAGCTCTCTGGTCCCCACTCCCTGCACCGGGGGTGGGGTGGGGAGTCAGGCCCGGTTCCCGCGGGGACACACACGGGGGCCGGGAGCGGGGACGGGACCCCCAGGCGGGGGGGACGGACCGACCGACAGACAGACGGCCGGGCGCCCGCCCCAGCGGGCAGGCAGGCAGGAGGAGGCGGAGGCGGGGGTACGGCGGGGGAGGACCGGGTCTGGGGAGTTTCCTCTCAACTATCGGGGGAGAAACTCCCCGCAGCCGGAGGAAAGACCCAGGCGGTGTTTTCCTCCCGGGGGCCGCGTTCCTCAGCCCCGCGTAGCGGCGGTGGCCGCCGCCGGTACCTCCACCTCTACCACCATCTCTTTCTCCACCACCTCGGGCCCCGGTGTCCCCGGCCAGCACTATGCCCATCTTACTGTTCCTGATAGACACGTCTGCCTCTATGAACCAGCGCAGCCATCTGGGCACCACCTACCTGGACACGGCCAAAGGCGCGGTAGAGACCTTCATGAAGGTACCGACAGACCGAGTCCGGGCGCGACCCCGACCCTGGCCCGCGGGCGGTAGGGTGGTGGTGGTGGCGGGGGAGAGCGGCTGGGGGCGGTGGGGCGGGGGTGTCGCCGGTGTGTGGGGGGGAGAATCTGACTGCGGGCGCTGCCGGGCTCGGGGACCCCCTCCCCCACCACGCGGGCGGGCGGGCGGGCGGGCGCTGCGAGCGGGGTTCGGCCGGGCCCGGGCTCCGGCCTTCGGGTCGGTGTGTGGGAAGCAATCGGTGTGAGTGTGTGTGGCGGCTTGCAGGGGCGGCCGCTGCGTGTGCGGTTACTGTGGAGGGGCTGGGGGAGGGGGCGGGGGGCCGCCGGGCGCCCCTTCTCCGACTCGTAACCTCGCCTCTGTGCTTCCCCCTGTCTCCCGCCCCGTCCCTCCTGTCCCCGCAGCTCCGTGCCCGGGACCCCGCCAGCCGAGGAGACAGGTATATGCTGGTCACTTTCGAAGAGCCGCCCTATGCTATCAAGGTAACAGCCCTCGCCCTCCCCCTTCCCTTCCTTCCTTCCTTCCCTGTTCCAGCCTCGCTCGCCCTCCCCGCCCCCCCATTCACCCTTCATTATGCTCCCCTCCCCCACCCGCCGCGCTCGGGGCGCCCAGGTTTCTCCCCTTGGCGGCCTCCCACCCCCTCCTCCGCTCGGGGGCGTCTCGGCGGGTACGGAGTCGCCGGGGCCACCGCCGTCCCCTCCCCGGCCCTTCTCGGCCCTGCGGTGGTGTTGGTGGTGGTGGTGGCGGCGGCAGCGGCGGCAGCGCTGATCAACATGGCCGACATTTCCCCTCCGCGGCGTGAGCGGCAGCAATGAACTGTGGGGGATATTTATTCAAGTTAGCCCGAGTGACAGCCGGGCCCAACCGTGCTGAGCCCGGGTTTGCATTAAAGGGGAATCGGCTCGGCTGGTCTGGGAGCCCCAGAAGTGGGGGGGGGTTCCCCGAAGCTTTGGCATCTTAAGAGTCCTCCTAGCCAGGGCCATGCTGGTGGGACAGCTGTGGGTCAACTTCGGAAGTCCTGCTGCCATCTGCCTTCCACTAGGACCCTTCACACCCCCAATTTTGGGGGGGGGAAGGGTAGTATGTTAGGTAATAAATTTTCAGATGAAGTTATAAAGTATTAAGGCCATTGCTTACCTAAAACTACAGAACAAGCAGGTTTATTCTTGGCCACCTTTGGAAGAGAGAAATTGCCTCCACAGACAACAGATCTAACACGTTAACCAAACCATTCCAAACCAAAGTAAAGCACTTGCTTAGTGAATGTCAGATTAAAATGGTTTGTCGGTGTGTATGTGGCTTTAAAGATGAAAAAAAATTCTTACATCTTTCTTTTCAGGCCGGATGGAAAGAAAACCATGCAACCTTTATGAATGAACTGAAAAACCTTCAGGCTGAAGGACTTACGACTCTTGGCCAATCCCTAAGGACAGCTTTTGATTTATTAAATTTAAATAGATTAGTAACTGGCATAGACAACTATGGGCAGGTAGGTTGAATATTAAGGTGGAAAAATAGTCCACTTTTTTTGTGTGGAAAAACACAATCCATCGCAAACCTATAACATGCAATGCAAGTATAAAATATTTAAGATTGGAATACAGTGTGCACATAGTTCAAAGGTGGAACTCTCCCTAATGTGTGTGCTATTATATCCCCCATTAAGGTCCTAGTGTTTATACTCAGAATGAATTCTTTGCTCTATAGTTAACATGAATTTAGTTTCAGTTCTTGCCCAGTTCACTAAAGACATAAAAGGGAAAACACTCTACCTCAAACATACTCAGTTACTCTGTTCCTTTACTCTGTTCCTATATGCAACTATTGAAGTGGATTTATAGCCACTAGTTGATTAGTAGTCTTCATTTCTATATTAGTAAAAATATTACAGGAAACTTTACTGTTTGTTCATTTTGTCAAGGGTCAATCTAAACATACTGTTAAACTACCCTGAAAAAATACTTTGAGTAGTGTATAGGAACTGGCTGAGTGCATCTTTTTTTTTTTTTTGTCAATCCTGGGGCTTGAACTCTGGGCCTGTGTGCTGCCCCTGAGCTCTTCAGCTCACGGAGAGCACTCTACTACTTGAGCTGTAGCACTGCTTCCAGTTTTCTGGGGGTTAATAGATAGTTTCACGTTTCCTGCCCAGGCTGGCTTTGAACCATGATCCTCAGATCTCAGCCTCTTGAGTGGCTAGGATTACAGGTGTGAGCCACCAGTGCCCTCCCCCTTTTTTTTTTTTTGGTCCAGTCTTGGGGCCTGAACTCTGGGCCTTGATGCAGTCCCTCAGCTCTTCACCTCAAGGCTAACGCACTACCACTTGAGCCATAGCACCACGTCCAGCTTTTTTTTTTTTTCTTCTGCTTATGTGGTGCTGAGGAATTGAACCCAGGGCCTCATGCATGCAAGGCAAGCGCTCTACCACTGAGCCACCTTCCCCATTTTTTTCTTTTTTGAAATATATGCCCCTAGAAACTACTAAAGAAGGAATTTTGTATTAAATGGCAGGTGCAACATTTGGTTTCATTTTTTGTTTCAAGCCCCTGGCAAAAAGTCTGTCTGGAAAATACAGAAGAACCTTCCCTAAATCTGTTGAAGTCCCTTTCCTGCTTTTGTCTGAGGATGAGGCAAGAGCCTCATATGCTTTCACTAAGGAATACTGCAAGGTGGTTCATTATAACTTTTTATAATATTGCTACTCTGGAAATACAAGATACTAAAGAATGTAATGCTACACGTAACAAAGGAGTACCAAAGCATTCAAAACTTACGTTGTATTGCAAAACACAGTTGCTATGATGATGTATTTAGGTATATGTATTCTTATCCCTGGTATAATCTACAGTTTTCATGAGTATCACATTTCAGAAAAATCCTTCCTGTACATACATTTATTTGCTTTATAGCAATGGAAATGAAATTGTTCTTTTGTTTTAGAAATTTTATGCGTTTGGATAACTCTTCGGCACTTAAAACATCTTTAAGAATTGGTGAATTTAGTCCTGTAACATTTAAGTACATATTACAATTGAGAGTGACTTTTCTGGGCCTTATTCCCATTATTTAGATAAATATTATCATATTAATCTTTCTCTTTCTCTGTATTGCTTTATTTTGCAACTCTTTGCAACTGGTGTTTCTATAAAGTATTTCATATATCTTAGTTATAAGTTCTCCAGGCTTTTTTTGCTTAAGGTTTTGATCTAAACCTTTTTGAGTTGAAAGATACATTTGAAAATTGCTTATCATGAGTGTCCTTATTTGGTTGTCAGGTTCTCAATGTATAGTGGAATTCTTAATTTCCTGTTTTTCTGCATCACATTTCATAAGTGGGAAAGGCATTTGGATATGCCTCCTACTACACATCAAAAATATTTCTTGGGGTGCTTCCTTTAAATAACTCATGGAGTTCAGAACATTTCTAAGTTAAATCTTTTATTTTCCCTTTCCCAGTTGTCATTATCAAACCCTTTAAATTTAAAAATTTTTAAAACTTGAGGTTGAAGGTGGTCCTGTTATATCACTATGACCAAAAGAAGAATCTGGATTGGATGGTTTTTTCACGTTAGGATTTATTAATTCAACAACAGGCATGGATAATGCTACTCAATTTGATGAATCAGCAAGGATGCGGGGAGCAATATTAATAATTATGTTTGAATTGGCACATAAAAATGAAACTATCATTAAAATAATTTAAGAAGCCACGATTTCTGAATGAAAATGATTGAGTAAAGTGTTCAATTAGAAGAAACATCCTTCCAGAAGATTTCTTCATCATAATACTATATTTCTAGCTGATTTAATTTTTCCACATTTTAAAATTTATATAAAGAATAAATTCAGGAATTTTGGATGTCTAAAATATTTAAAACAATTGTATGTTTCTTTGTAAAAGCACTTTGTATGTGCCTGCTATCTGTGGAATATCTTTATAACCTTTTCTTTTTCTTGTGGTTTTAGAGTTTGACAAGAACTCCTGATTGCTGGTTCTCTACCAGTTGAGCCCTACATCCCCAGACCATTTTTGCTCTAGTTTTCAAATAATATCTTGCAATATTGTCCCTGTGAGCTTGAATATTGATCTTCCTATTACACCTCCTGCATAGTTGGAATAGGCGGGCACAACCACATCTATTTTATTGGTTTTTTTGTGTGTGTTTTTGCTAACTGTGGTCCTAATTTCCAGCTTCCAAGTATCTGGGGTTACAGGCATGAGCCACATTTAAAATTGGGAAATTCCCAGTACTAAATACTTACATATAACCAAAGTAACAGCAAGGAATGAGAAAAAGTGAGTTAAATGGAAAACAGCATATCTGTCATATAGAGCATTTAAAAAGCCTTAAATAATAGGTTTCCATGTGATTTTTCCATAACCATTACACTTAATTTATTTAGTATTTTCTAGGGTGCTTATTAGAATTTGCAGATACCAACTGTAAGGTTAAAGTACCTGAGGAAGATAGAGTCAGTCTTGGTGAATGTTTTCCCCGAGGAAGATAGAGTCAGTCTTGGTGAATGTTTTCCCCAAGCACTTTGGCTATCCTGCCAAAAAAGTTCTCTGCATATAGAAGGTTCTTTTAAATATATAATTTTGGTAAAGAGTACCATTTATTTTTATTTAGACAGCCATAGAGTAATATATACCCTCTATACTTTCCTTTCATGGCAGCTCTATTAATTTGCTTATCAGATACATTTGATAATTTCCCCCTTTTGTTTAATAGTGCAAATAATGCTGCTCCTTTGAGAGCTACTAGAAATCTAAACTAGCTCAAGTAGCTAAAATTAGGAGATACATAAAGTTTGAGAGGTCTTTTTAAAGTTTTATGTGTAGGTAGTTGTATTGTTTTATTGTTTTGAGTTACTCTATTTCCTGTTGTTTTCAAGTTGAATGATTTTTGGTGAGAATCTGTTTTATTCTTAGGCATAGAATTTGAAATCATCAGATAATCCAAGTAGAGTTCTAATAGTGTTGCCTTTTACCCAAGTGGTACCCATTTAGTATTCAAGTATAGCCTTTTAAAGGTGATTGAAATAGTGAAAACTTGGCTGTCACTTGGGTTTTCTAGGGCTGTCAACAAATAAAGTATAAAACATTTGAGATGAAAGATTATTATAAACATACTGTAGTGCTGAATATTAAGCTGTTGTGAATATTTGTGCACATGTGTTTTTTGTATAAAATAATTTTTTTTTTGCTGGGTTTTGAACCCAAGACCCTGTGATGCTAGGCAGACATTTCTATCACTTGAGTTCCACCCATAACCCTATTTTGCAACATTTTAAAGTTTTTTAATTAAAAATAATTTGGAAAAAATTTTAAGTTCAATATTGTTAAGTATTTCACTATTATGCACCCAACATCTAGATTCATCTTGCAAATCTGGATCTCATTAAACAGTAACTTCCTATTTCCCCTTACCCTCACACTTTAGGGAGTCATTTTTCTACTTTGTGTTTCTTTGAGTTTGATTGCCCTGGATACTTCATAGTGGAAGTACACTGTACAGTTGGCCCCCTAATCGGTTGGTTCCACATCCATTGATTCAATCAACCATGGATTGAAAATAGTAAAAGAAAAATTCTGTACTGAACATGAACAAACTCTTAACCATTATCCCCTAAGCAATATAGAATAGCAGCTTTTGACAGCATTTACATTATCCTTGCTATTAAAAATAGCCTACAGATGATTTTAGGTAAACTGGAGGATGTATGTAAGATACTTGTCAATACTGAATTTTATGTAAGTTATTGAATATGAATGGTATCTTAGAGAACTAGGAACCAATTTTCCAAGGATCTGAGAAATAGCTTGTCTTTATGACTGTCTTATTTCACTTAGCATAATGTTCTTAAGGTTTATCCATATTATAGCATGCATTAGGATTTTCTTTCTAAAGCTGGATTGTGTTCCATTTTATGTATACATTAAATTTTGCTTATCCACTGTCAATGTTATTTGTAGATCATGTCTATCAGGAGTAATGCTGCAATGAACATGGATTTGTATAAGTGTCTATTCAAGATTATGACTTTTGATTTGGTTCTATACCTTAAAGTGGAATCATACTGATAGTAAAAAAGCCATAATAGTAAAAAAAAAATCTGGATCAGATAGTAATTTCAGTTTTAGTTTTTTTTGAGGAAGTACTCATAGTCTGCTGTAGCAATTGCACCATTTTATATTATCACTACTACTGCACAAGGTCCTTCCTGCTCATGGTCTCCTGTTCCTCCTAATATTAGCCATCCTAATGAATATGATGTAATACTGTGGCTTTTGTTTGCATTTCTCCAAATTACTAGTCATTAAGTATGTTCGTGTGTTTGCTGACTACTATGTATTATTATTTTTGGAGAAATGTCTATTCAATTACTTTGTCTACTTTTTGATGATTTTAAAAACTATTTTTGTTTTGATCGATCTTGTTTTTGGTCAGTGGTGGGGCTTGAACTCTGGGCCTGGGCTCTGTTCCTGAG